TACATCCTCCTTACTACCTCTTCAACTTCATGTCCTCTGTTATTATCTTTTTAAGGCCTATTTAGTCTACTTTGTATGTATGATGCTATACCAAATACCATCATGGGTGGTCCATCCCCTGGAGCCTTGTCAACCTACCCAGTGTTACATCCTTAAAGAAAACGGACTCTGTTCTTACCAGCTATCAATTACCAATAGTTCCTCATCTAGGCTTGGGCCTTCTTACCTTCCTCCCCCATTTATGCTGGGGATTTGTCTGGCTTGAGTTTATGTAGGTCTTGTGCATGCTGACACAACTGCTGTAAATTCACATGAATAGTTGCCCTGCTGTCTGGAAAGCACTGTTTCCTTGTAATCATCCACCACCTCTGGCCTCTGGCTCTTACAGTCTTTCTACTCCTTTTCACAATGATCCCTGAGCTTTGGGAGGCAAGGGTTTAATATAACTGCCCCCTTTAGGGCTAAGCACTGTCCAGTCTCTCTTTTTTTTGAGACAAGGTCTTACTCTGTAGCCTTGGCTGGCTTGGAATTTGCTATGTAGATCAGGCTGACCTCAAATTCACAGAGTTACCTGCTTCTGCCTCTGCCTCTGCCTTCTGAATGCAGAGATTAAAGGTGTGTGTCACCATGCCTGGCTAACTCTGCAGCCTTTATTCTCTGCACATTGACAAGTTGTGGGTCTTTGTTAATTGCCATCTACTATAAGAAGAAGCTTCTCTGGTGAGAGTTGAGAGATTCATTAATCTATGGGTATAATGATAAGCCATTAGGAGTCAGTTTAATATTATGTCCATTTAGCAGAATAATAGTAATAGGTTCTCTTTTATGGCCTGTGACCTGTCTAGCCACAGGTTCCTAGGTTTGATACCAGTGCTAGGTATGGGCTCCATCTTGTGAAGGAAATGGAGCCCATCCAATTGGAAAGTCATTTGTTGGGGCTGGAGAGATGGCTCAGCAGTTAAGAGAACTGGCTGCTCTTCCAGAGGACCCAGGTTTGGTTCCCAGCACCCACATGGTGGCTAACAACCATCCTTAACTCCAGTTCCAGGGGATCTGATGCCCTCTTCTGGCCTCCATAGATTTGCATGACATGGGTGCACTTATATAAATGCAGACAAAAACACTCATACACATAAAATAAAAATAAGTAAATCATTAAAAAAAAAGAGAGAGAAAAGAAAGTGTTTGATTACTGACTTGACCTTGCACCAGTGGGCATATCTTGCCAGGCCACTTGTTACTGTAGCTTGCAGGGTTCATACATGGTCAAGGTGATGATTACTTTCCTCATCCAGTAGCATACATAGCACCTTCCAGTGTTATGAGGTGCTTCACCAGAGAAGACCACTCAAAGTTTTGCTGAATGAAAGTTGTTACTGGCCAGAGCTACTACACAAGGGTATCAGGACCCAAGTGAGTAGCACCAAGCCATATCTAGGATAAGCTTTTATACAGAGAAACCATAACCAGGGATGAAAAGTTTAAGTTCCCAAGCTTATAGGTGAAGCATCCCCTTAACAATTTCTATTCTATTAAGCAACAATTACTATTTTGCAGAAGCAAGCTAACCTACAGAAGCCATAAATCTGCAGCTGGCAGGTGTACTCTAGGACACTCTGACCTGTTTCCAAGACAACTGGGGTCTAACTGACATGTGCTCCCATACCCTGGGCCAAGTGCCTGATAATTTCAGAGACTAGAGTCAGCCTAAAATTTAACATGGCATAGCTTTGGTCATGAAGGTACCCTATTACACCAGCACTATGAAAGGTAGCTAGTAGCGATGAAGCTTTGAGGTCAGTGCCAGCTTGATTTCTCCTTGTTTGTTCTACAACTCGTGTGTAGCAGGGTCTTCAGCAATAGTCTTACCATCAAGTCCTGGTGAGTAGCCAGGATTGTTTGAGGGTCTATGAGAGCTCCATGTTGTAGCCCAGGCTGGCCCCAAATTTACTATGTAACCCATGTTGATCTCAAACTGAATTTTCTGAGCCTCAGCCTTGTAAGTGCTAGAGTTACTGCATATGCCCCCATTATTATCAGGCTTTCTTCCTCTTTTTAAAAATAGTAGCCATTCCAATGGCAGTGAAAGGATATCTCAGAGTTGTTATTGTACAGCTGTAATGGAAAGATAGGCAGGCAAGGGAACCAGCATCCTCAGCCCTGTCTTTGGAGCCACTGATATGAGCTTCAGGTTTCAGTAAGGAAGGAACTGAAACAAGGTACAAGAAACATGCATACTTAATCCTATCTAGGTCATCCGGTTTATTATTTATTATTGTGGATTTGATTGGTATTTAATTAGTGATGAATGATGTTGAATATCTTTCCTGTGCTTATTCAAATACAATTTGTTTTTGCATATTGATTTTTTATTTTTAAAATATTTTATTATTTTGTGTATGAATGTATTGCCTGCATGTGTGTGAGTGTACCCCTGTCATGCAATGCCTTGGAGATCAGAAGAGGGCTTTGGATTCCTCTGGAACTGGAGTTAAGGATGGTTTGTAGCCACCATGTGGGTGCTGGGAACCAAACTCAGGTCCTCTGCAAGAGCAGTCAATGCTCTTACCCGCTGAGCCATCTCTCCAGCCCCACATTCCAGAATTTAAATGCTACAGAAATGTACTAAGAATAATTTACAGCAGCCAGTTGTAGTGGCACATGCCTGTAATCTCAGCACTTGCGAGGCAGAGGCAGGCAGATCTCTTTGAGTTCAAGGCCAGCCTGGTCTACATAGTGAGTTCGAGGCCAGCTGGGGCTACAGGGAGACCCTGTCTCAAAAAAGACCAAAAAAAAAAAAAAAAGAATAATTTACCTATGCTCTACTAGCCAACTGTTAACAATTTGTTATGCTTATTTATAGTTATTATCATTACTGTTTTTAAAAATTATTTGTTTTAACCGGGCATGGTGGCACACGCCTGTAGTCCCAGTACTTGGGAGGCAGAGGCAGGCAGATCTCTGTGAGTTCAAGGCCGGCCTGGTCTACATAGTGAGTTCCAGGACAGCTGGGGCTTACAGGGAGACCCTGCTTCAAAAAGAAAAAAAAAATTATTTGTTTTAATTTTATGTGTATGATTGTTATGCCTGCATGTATGTAAGTGTACCCATAGTGTGTTGTCGTTTGGGGCTGTGTGGTGCCATGTGGTGCCGTGTGGAGCCCTTGGAGGACAGAAGATCTTGTCATTTACAAGCGGTTGTTAGCATCCATGTGGGTGCTGGGATTCAAATCTGGGTCTTCTGCAAGAACAACTAGGGTTCTTAACTGCTGAGACATCTCTCCAGCCCCCATTATTACTGTTTTTGGACAGCCTTGGCTGTCCTGTTACTTGCTGTGTAGCTCAGGGCAGACACAAACTTTTGAGTCCTTCTGCTTCAGCTTCCCCAGTGCTGAGATTACAGGCATGTACTATTGTGCCTTGCCTTAACACCTATCTAAAGTCCTTTTTTTTCCCCCCACTTATTCCCCAGTTGGCCTGGAATTCAATAAGTAGACCAGGCCTCCTGCCTCTGCCTCCAGAGAGCTGGGATTAGCTGGGATTAAAGGTGTTCACCACCATATTTGGTAATTTCTACTTCTTTAATTCCTCTTCCCATTTCAATATCATTACCATAATGTGTATCCATCTATCCATCAGCTCCATCAATTTACACATAGTTATTATTTATTTAATTATTTTTATTTTATGTGTATACATGTATTGCCTGCATGTAGGTAAGTGCACCCATGTCATGCAATGCCCGTGGAGGTCAGAAGAGGCTGTCGGATCCCCTGAGACTGGAGTTATGGACAGTTGTTAGCTGCCATGTGGGTGCTGGGATACAAACCCGGGTCTTCTGCAAGAACAACCAGTGTTCTCAACTGCTGAGCTATCCCTCCAGCCCCGCTTTTACACATACTGTTTTCCATGAACTATGAACTATAAAGTATATACCATTTTATGTATTTGTAAATTTACACAAATCATTTAACAGTTTTCATATTTGTTGGCATGTTACTATTTCAGTAATATTTGTTAGGAGCTATCAAATGTTACATAGGAATAATTTATGAATTTTGTCTTAGAATTGTATATTATATATAATATGAACATTTCATGCTTTATTTATCCTTATTAGACATTTCTGCTGTTCGTATTATTTTTTCAAAGAAGTGAACTTCCTGGAACATATCTTCTTATGCACACCTGTAGAAGTTTGTATATTTTTCTTTTTCTTTTTTTCGGTCTCTTTTTTTTTTTTCGGTCTTTTTGAGACAGGGTCTCCCTATGGCCCCAGCTGTCCCGGAACTCACTATGTAGACCAGGACGGCCTTGAACTCACAGTGATCCACCTGCCTCTGCCTCCCAAGTGCTGGGATTAAAGGCCTGCACCACCACGCCTGGCTCTTTTTGTCTTTTTGAGACAGGGTCTCCCTGTAGCCCCAGATGTCCTGGAACTTTCTATGTAGACCAGGCTGGACTCGAACTAACAAAGAACCGCCTGTTTCAGTCTCCCGCATCCTGGGATTAAAGTTGTATGCCACCATGCCCGGCCAGTTTCTGCATTTTTCTACACAGGAAATTGTATGCATATTTAAAATTTCATGACATCAAATTATCCTAGAAGTGGTCTTTTGTAATTTTACACTCTTACGTGCCACAGAAGAGTTTCAGGATGCTCTCCTTCCACCGAGGTGATCAGACATTACCACTTTCCCATCTGAAGAGAGTTTATAAGTAGTCACGTGAACATTTAATTTCAATATAATTCTAAATACATGCAAATAAAGCGCCAGAGGAGGATTGATGGGGCAGAGCTAACTTTGAAAGGTTTACTGAAGGTGTTTGGGGGGCTCTATTAACCACATTCTGGTTTTCCCTCAAACCATGGCCAAGTGCCAGCAAGGGACCCTGAGGAGCGGTGGCTGGAGCTGACACCCCCCCCCCCCCCCCCCCCC